TTAGTTATTGAGCAGCTGGAAGTACAGACCCACAAGCTAGGCATAACACTGAATGCTTTTGGTAGAAATAAAGAGTATCTTGCTGTTACCATCAAGCCTTGAAACTGACTTCCAGCTAATGACCCAAATAATCTTTACTTGAAATTGTATAATTGAGATCGAAGGCTGTCTGGGGCTTCTAGCTGGTACACAGATTCCACATCCGTGAGCTTTTGAGTATGGTCGTTGAGCTGAAATGGAGAAGGTTAAAACTCTCATTTTCATTACCAAGCTCCCCCCATCTCCCAATACAAATGTGACATTTCAATTTTACACAGTCCAACTCTTCTTCAGTCATCTGTATAAAAACTTCAGATCTTGATTGATGATGGATGAGCTATTGTCTTCTAAAGCACTCAGTTCTCATTACCCTTTAAGACATAGCTTATTAATGATGGACCTGAAGTGCTTTCCCACTGGGTCATCAGCAATCAACTGTGCTAAGAGATCAAAAGATTTGGTTTGGCATGAAATTTCCAGGCCAAAGCCATTTTCAAATAATGCACTCAGCATCTTGGAGAGTGATACAGTATCTGACAGCAGATCTGCATCACCTGGGTGATGGTGGCAAAGATGCAGAGTTTCAGCATGTGAAGATGCTTCAGCTCTTATGGAAGCTGACCTTGGACATGAAGGTATCATCAATGTGCCTTATGTAAGAAGTATGTGCAGTGAACACACCTCCACATGGTATGATGTAACAGATGGTTGTTTCCTTAGAAGGGAGCTTGGATACAGAGTATCTTCCATTTTGCTTTTGAGGTGGTTACAGTGGATGTAGCCAGTGTTTTTTCCCAATTAACTGCTTTCCCTTTCTTTGTCAACTTTACAGCTAGTTCTTTCCCTCTCACTGTGCCCTTTTCCAGTTCATTGTGGCAGCTGGCTTTATAGCAGCGCAGAAGAGCTTTTAATTTGCAACCTTGATTAGCAATAACAATGTCATAACCAATTTTGAAACAATTTTAGAACCAGATTCTGTTGCTAAATAGGTGCCTACAGCCCCCACTGTGTATCAACACACAAGTTACTTGCACTTCCGGATATGTTGCAGAATATGAATATGTTTTTCCAATTTAATCCGTATTAGAAATTAGATAACAGACCATGAGGGATTACGCTGTACACACACACAAAAAAAATAGTCAGCTGAAGAAAATGCCCTTTTAACAGATGGATGAAGAAGAGTTCTTTCCATTTTTGGTCTAAACAGACAGCCTACTTGAAGAGCTAGTGTCTCTGTTCATTATTAATAGGGATCTTAAGCTTCTGGGGGCTGGTAATGCATTTTCACTGACTCCAGTCATACTCTTCATTCTATTCAAATACATGTTAGGAATTTAGCCCCTTTTTTAACTTAGCAGACTGAGTGTGAACTGTGTGTGATGTACCTACCTGTGTTCCATGGCACTTTATGGAAAGAGTAAGATTCTTGTGTTTTCATGGTTGCCAGAGACCTGTATGTTTCCATTTCTCCTGTTAGTATTTTAAGTATTGTATGGTAGGCTGGCTCAGTTATGTGGTAATAGTTCTGCTTCATCACTGGGCTAATGGAAGCAAGAAAATAGCAGATATAACAGATAATACATTTCTGAGTTAGCTTCCTGAATAAATAACCATTTAATAGAATTTTAATAATATGCAGATAAAAGTTCCCCACAATCATTTGGCAGCAATAAGCAAAATAATTACAGAAGTCAGTGGTGAGTACACTTGTGGATTTATTTTCCTGTAACTTTGGTTACAGAATTAGACTGCTTTTAAGCCAGGAAAGTAGTTCTAATAAGGAAGATAGGTACATTTGTCTTCACTTCAGAATCAAGTGGCAAAAGACCTTGGAGAGACTCTTTTTCTCAGAGCTCTGGTTGCAGCCCTTGTGCCAAAATGGGAAATGATGATAAGTCTGGCTATCAGTACCTTACAGGAAGGTGTCTAGAATAGCCTGACACCTTTAGGAATTCTTTTCCCCATGAAAGCCAGTGAGACTTGTGCATCAAAATCCCCTTTTGTAACTGTGTGCCTGAGCAGCAAAGAGGTCCCAGGGTAATGTTTGCTGCCAGCACGGTACGGTCAGTCTTTTAGGCAGCAACTGACAGAGCCAAGTTCTTTGCCTCTTGTCCCAGGCAGCAGTGTTGTACTGAGACTGACAAATATCCAGTGTCACAAAAAAAATTCTTAAAAAACAAAAATGCTTTCCCCAGAATGGTATTTAAAACATGTTGCACTGTGAGCAGCCCTTTTTAGTGCTTCTTTGGCAAAAACTTGTTTCATCCTTTGCAGCAGGTACCACAGAATTCACAGAGGGTCTTGTCATTCTCTTTCCCACTCCAGTCTCAGAGAGAGTTCAGTGAAGAGGCACTTCAGATGTTGCACACAGGAGGAAGAAGGTCTTCTTGCCTGGCAAAGATGCCTGCCCTTCTCCTCCTGTTGTTTAACTTTATCTCTCATTTTCAGCGCTGTAAATTAAAATAAGATGATGACTTTATGATAATGAGTTCATTGTACAGTAACTCCATTGTATATTGATTACATTTGTGCTTCATTTGCTTAACATGTAACAGGATTTATTAGGTCTTTCCAGGCATTGTTCTTGCTAAGAGAGGGCAGAGAAGTGCAAAATGCATTTGAGCTGAAGGTAGTGAAGCCAACGCATCTGTGCTGATTTACACATGCTGAGGACTTGGCATAAGGAAAAGCAGGATAGCAGCTTGGAAGGGGAAGGTGGAAAGGGAATGAATCTGGATCCACACTGAGCAGGAAGAGTCAAGCACAAGTACTTGAAAGATTGTATTAAACTTTGATCTCACGCTTGTTTAATATCTGTAAGAGCCCATTTTTTATATTATTACTCAGGTTTATTAGTGTATCACAACAAGATGTAAACTTCAATCCTGTCACCTGTGACAACTGGTGCAGTGCAGGGCATGTAAAGATACTTGCACTGTTTTTGGGGAGGAAAGACAGCATTTCAACGTTTATTATTCAGTGATGAGGGAAGGCAGAGCATTTTCCATGTTTGCTTTTAGCAAATCACAGGGAAAGCTGCCAGCTTTCCTTACAGTACGGAGGGGACACTTTCTGGTTACTTTTGTGCAGAAAAAAGTGTTTCTCCATGAATTGAAACTATTAGAGTTACTTTTAGCATGATATGCTGCCTGCATCCAAGTTCCTAGCAGAGAAGAAAATTTGATAGGTATTGCTCTGAATGAATGCTTTAAAACCCAGACATTATGCCAGTGGCAGGTGTTCAGATGTACCAACTGCTAGTGACACTGTTTGGAATCATGTGCAAGTGTTTAAGAAGTTATGGATGTCAATTTTTCCATTTTTCATGGCTTGTTAGATGTTATTTTGAATCAAAATCCAGGCCATAATGAATTAGGTAATCCCATAGAGCTGGGACAACACAGAGAAATAATCAGTAATCATGTTTTCAAGTGTTCTTCTATGTCCTAATTTTTCGCGAGAGAAGAATTGCTAACAGATGTTGTATGGGTTTTTGGAGGGATCATAAGAATATCATACAGAGACATCATTGCTTTATCTCTAATCTGGACTCTTTTCTGTATAAGGTTATTATTATTATTTTCATTTTTAAGCCCCTTTTCAATGAAAAGCCAAGGTTTTAAACCAGATGTTTCTAAGAAATAGATAGTAATACTCTGAATTGATTAATATGGTGGAAGGATGTATTTACAGCTGATCCTTTATTTAATATGTTCTTTACTTGGGGGTTACCTCCTCTAAATGCTGTGGTCTGTAAACAATGACATTTTGAAAAAAATACACGGTAATTCCTTTCCTCTTGTTTGTCAACATAAGCATTTCCATTACAGCTTTTGAAGGTTTTCTTGGGAAGTGAGGATTATCAGATGACCTTTTAATCATTGCTACCATAATGTCTGTGAGAAGTGTGACACTCCTGGCTGTAGAGCACCTCTTAATGTCATTCTAAGGTGCCATTAGTAGCTAACCTTCATTCAGCATTTCTCTTCTGAGGCTGGAATCTCTGACACTAAGTGGTGCAGGAGGTTTTAGCTGCAGAGCTCCTGTTGACATTAATGAAAGTCAGAGGGATTGTTCTCTGCTTTGGAAATACAAGAACCAGGTAAAGGAAAGAAATTGTGAATTTGAGCAAGAACTTAGTAACAAAACACCAAACAAAAACAAATGAACAATTAAAAAAAAGTTATTCCTTCAGTCAGCCCTGATGTTACAATGAACAGCTGCAAGATCATTTTCATATTGGGACTTGACAAATCAAGTCTGATAGAGATAGGTGAACAGGCAGGTTTTTTAAACCAAATGATATAAACATGAACATTAAAAAAAACCCAACAGAACAAACCCTTTCATCTGCTCAGACGCCATCTTCCTTTGACACAAAGCTTCTGGTGAGACATGTCACCAGTGGCTTTGGATCACAGATATTGAGTATTTTGGATCATGGTATTACAGCAGCACAGTCTGATCAGAAATTACACTTTTCCAGGCATCACAATGTCTGGAGCTTTTTCGTATACTCTGGGCTCAGAAGATTTCTGGCCCACCAAAACACATTCATTTAGTGTATGTTTTAGTGTTCATATGTATTAATGAAATATGGTCTAGTGTGGTTGATTGCTTGTGTTTTTAGAAAGTCAGTTAAGTCTGGAAGGTTATTTTACCCAGAAATAGCAGCACTTTTCCATACTTGATTCCACTGAACAAGAGGTAAACCCAGTAACTCTAGCAGCTGTCTTCAGTGTCTAGTGTGGCTGTCTTCATCAGCCTTCTTCTGCATATAAAGAAATATTCCTATAAGCAACTTTCCCTCCAGTTTTCAGAGTATTAAGTGAGATTACAGTGAGAATTCTTTGCATTTAAATTTCATGCTCTCTCTCTTCAGTACACAAAGCAACAATGGACTTAATCCGCTGTATATGTAAAGTCTTACAAGTCTGTTGTCTTGTTCTTTTATGCAGAAATACTGAATGGAGGGGTGTATGTTGGCCAGAACAAATTTCTTTGCTTCGCAGACACCATTCATTGGCAAGATATCGTGCGTAACCCTTGGGCCTCCAACTTCACTTTGGTTCCAACGAATGGCAGCTCAGGATGTAAGTACTGATTTTATTCTTAGCCTTGTCATCTGCTCAGTATGAAACAGTATAAATACGACCACAGGTTTTCCCTGTTCCTCTCTCATGGAGAATTGTATTTGTAAATCGTCCCTGCATTCCTCACTGCATTCTTCAATGTTGGCACACTGTGTGTAGGAGCACAGTCTAATCTTGAAAACACTTTGTCTCTAGAGAGTATTTATGAATATCATACATATGCTGGTTTTTCTTTTGTCTGTTTTCTCTCTTCTGTGTATCCTTTTTTTTCTATTTATTGCTAAAGCCACAGTGCTGCTGAGGAAGTGCAGACATTATTGTTTGCTTTGCATTTGTTCCTGCTACTCTGTCTGGTCCTTGAGTCACAATGGTCTGTTTATGACATCATAATTAGCTGCTGGAGTAATTGTGGCACAAGCTTTAGGATATTCTGACTTTAGATGAGTTATTCTGTTGTCTTGTGCGTGCCTGTGAAGAAAGAGAATTTGCAGAGGATGGAGTGATCTTCACAATATAGCAAGTATTTATGGTTTTAATGTTACCTCTATTTTAATGTGCTTTGCTTCAAAGTTGAACTTTGATTTAGTTGTTAGATCCATTTCTCTATTTCCCTTCCCTAGAGTTATTCACCTTCAGTATTATTTTGATGATTCTTGCAGCAATAATCAATTCTAGTGAATGGTAGTGACAGTGATACAAAGCATTGAGATAAAACATTCCATAATACACTAATGTGCATTGAAAACCAGTAGTGTGCTATTGAACAGTACCCTTGGGATGTGCCAGCATTGAAATTCAGGTATAGGCTGGGAAGAAGTTTAGATCTGATGTCAGGAGTGACACCAGCAGCAGATATACTGTTCTCAGCATCCTCGCTATAGGGACATTCAGAGTGGCTTACCCTCTCCTAAGGTGTCCCTCAAGGATGTATAAATGATTCATTGCCTCTTTAGCTTCTGATACAGCTTCAGCTTTTCAGCTCTATGTTAGGAATTCTGAAAACAAATTGAACTCTGGGTAAATACCATTTGAGGAGTCCCTTTGATTCCTAAGCAGCAATTTGTTTTTAGCCAAGTGCTTTGTGGTACAATAATAGATTTTCCATATGGGCAACTTGCTTTGGTATGTCTCACCTGCTACCCTCAAAACCAGAGCACAGCTACTTGAGATAGAGCTTGTTCCGGGAGCCTGCCAGACTCCACTGCTCCTCCATCTTCCAGCTCCAGAGCTGAGGTTCATCTCTTCTGCCTTCTGGCTGGAAACCTGACATAGTTGTAATGTAGCCAGCTATCTTATTTGCATATTAAAAAACCTCACCACTGGTGATGATCAGTTCTAAACAGAACTGATACAATTTTTGAAAGTTAGGGAATGCCTGAATCCTTTTATGAGTCATTGCTTAAACAGAAAAAGACTTGATTGTTACTCTGTTTTGTTCTGTTGTTGGTTTTTCTCTTAACTTTAGCCTGTTCATCAAGACAAATGCTTCTGCAACACCAAGGTAATAAGCTCTTTTAAAAACACGACCAACATCAATACTATCTTTTTGAGCTAATGATACTGGTAACTCCAGAGGAATCAGAAAATAATAAGTGCTGAGTACTTTTGGAATCACACCCTGCATGTAATAGAGGCAAATATTAGCTCACTCTTTTGAATGTATGTACCTAAATCCAGTTTTCTTAAAACATTTTCTCATTCCTTTTGAGTTGTTTTCAAACATGGGTAAGGAACAATTTGTGCTTTGTCATTTGTGCTTGATAAACCTGATAAACAGCATTCTTTCAGTGATGACTGAGGGCTGTGTAAGGTAGCTTCATTAAGATAGCCACCAAAAATTTGCTTTCTTTTTCCTTACCTTGGATGGAGCAGAGGCCAGTTAGACTGTATTTATTTTAATAAACATGCATCTTTCTCCAAGAAACTGAATTCCATCTCAATACTTTTAATGAGTCTTGTGGAGTTTGATTGAATGATCTAATCCAAACTATTTCTGTCTTCATAACTTATATAAGTGAAAATAGGAACACCATTAAACAGAAAGCCAACAGATGGCTAAAATGGTTGAACCAGGTTGTTAAGGCTTTGGGGAAAAAAAAATAAATTCAGGTACAGAAATCACCATTTAAAAGAATCTAAAATTAAATAGCTGTGTGGTTTTATGTGCATCTATTAGACACACACCCACACACATAGGTGTGTGTGTGAAATATATATATATATATAAAGTCTTCAAATGAAATCACTCAAATGTGGAATCTTATTACTACCTATCAAGAGTTAGGAGAAAGGGAATATCTACACTAGTAGTTTACAAAAGAATTAAGACAAGTTCTTTGTACTGGTGCAGAAAGGACTTGAAGAAATGAACACGAAATGATAGCCCTGGCATGGAAATCAGTGTAGAGTATCATTAAATAAGGTATATGCTTCTCAGATTAGGTTCACATGTCACTGTTCATAATCTGCTAGGCAGTGTGGGTGCTTTCTGGGCCCAGCCTTGCTATTATTCTGCTGCTGCAAATGATGCTCAGTGCATCACAAAGTCTGGTACTTCTCTGCAAAGACTGTGAATCATGCGTTTTTGGATCCAGCATGTGTATGTATTTACTGGTTATTTTACATTACTGTATCAAATGGCCTGAAGTCACAGGAGCCTCCTATTAAATGCATATCTTGGCTAAGTTCATTGCAACTGAGTAAGTAGATGTTGCTTGGCATTACCAAGAAAATCCTAAGTGCAAGAGATGTCAAGGAAAATCCTCTGGGACTTTGCATGTCAGAATGAGTGGGTTTTACTGCCTATATGAAAACCTTTACAGGAGAGGGAGAACATTTGTTAGGCTGCATCAACCTGGGAATGTAAACCAACCAAACCTTCTGTGTCAATCTCAACGAAGTCCATGCTAATAGTAATTTAGGGAAGTTTGCACAAATGTGATCATGGGAGAGCCAGTTCTAGCCGTGACTGGCAGGACTGGAGGGTAGCTTGTGCCCCAGGATTTGATAGGCCTTTTGCACTGTGACCACCTCAACAGTGCTCCCTGGCAGAGAATATTTTCGGGACAAAAGGCTGCAAACTCCAGTGGATGTCAGAATCAGGCACTTCATAATTTCAGCAGGTCCTAAAGCTTCAACCATGGATCGATGTTTTGGCACCGCTAGCGTTGCTTCCAGCCATCAGTAGCATACATGAAATCTCACCCCAGGTGTCTACATGTCCAAAAGAAGGAGGGCCCACCTTCAGAGAAGAGCCCAATATACAACACTTGCAACTTTGCCTGCCTATTCCAAGGCAATCAACAGAGGAAGAAAACAAAAGGTAGAGTGAAATGAAGGTGCTCTGAAATAAGATCAGTCATCTGCCTCTGTGCTTGTTTCATACCTTGGATCTGTCAGCTCTGACAATCTCCTTCATTTACATCAGTGCTAGACAGAAGAGAATACAGTCAATGAACTCTGTGAGTAAAGATTTTCTGATTCCATTCTTTGCTGAATTTCATTGTCACATCAGTGTTAAGGAGCCAGTGGAAAAGGCCATAGAGTCTTAACCACTGACATAGAAATACTGCAGACATATAAATCCTAAGTGCTGCTTAGGATTTTTCTTTAGCCTGAAATACATTCTACCCGTTGCTTCATGTTCTGATCAAATGCATGCAGAAGAGCTCATGTTCGAGGACTTCGAATTACACAATCTTACTGTTGAGGTGAATACAGCCAGTGGCTGCCTGGCGCAGAGCTCAGCGTGTACCTCTGAAATGTAATAAATAAATGTTATACCAGGGATACCACATTCTTTTGCTTTCTGAGGGCAGATAATTCTGTGCCTGGCATTTCGGCTTCTACGCTGAAATATTTACTGTCTGCAGAGCCTTCTCATACTGGTATCTTGTAGCATAGTCTTTTAAATTTAATATTAAGTTTAAAGCAGCCTTCTCTTCCATTTACCTGAAATCAACTCTATGAAGCCTTAGGTTTTTAGGTTTTTACACTGGACATATTGCAGTGGGAATATCAAAAATGCTTTACTGTCTAGGGAACAAAATTTCCCCTTTAGGCATAATTTACTGAATTTGTTTCTGCACCGCTGAAAATCGGTTTCCTCTCCTTCCAAAAAATAAGCAAGGAATTCAAGCATTAGCAGAGCACACTAAAGCCACACATTGCAAGAGCATATTCCCCTGTTACCCCATCCACTTGTTGCATTTAGTCCCTTAACTGAGGAGCTGGAGCTCTGCCCTTCAGACGTAGAAACCTGAAGTGCAGTCCCTAGTGATGGTGCAAGAAATAAAGCAGGAAATAAGGGATTAGGCTTCTTGTGTAAAATGGCTCTAGGTTGGCAGATGAATCCTCTGACCAGCTTTAGTGAAAGTGCAGTGAAAACTCAGCTGCTTTGATGTGTCCTCAGTGTCCTCCTTTGGTAGTTAGCAGGAACTGGACTAGAGCCCTGTTCTGCCAGGTGAGGTCTTTTGCAGGACAAGGACTGTAGCATTAAATCAGGATTTTCAGTGGTGCATTATTTGGAGATTTTGTTTATCAGAAAAGCCTGAAGGGTTTGAATTATTGCCTTGAGGTCACTTACATAGCTAGTAACATAGATTCAAATAAATCTGTAATGCTGAAGACTGGTAAATGTTTGGTAATAAGGATGAAAATATTGGTTTCAATTTTCAAATTTTTTTTTTATTTGTTTGTGTGCTTCTGTATTTGCAGGACTGCATGTCAGCATTTGCCCAGAGCTGCATAAACTGAACTCTATGAAAATCAAGTATTTTCCGGAATTGAAATTTCTGCTCAGATTCTGAAATACAGTGAGATCTGTGGAAAAATTCCCTTCACTTGATCTGGTTTTCACCTGAGCCCCTGTTAGCTGTGAAAAAAGCTGGAATTTTTTGCAGGATATTTTTTCAAGCAAAACAATTTCAGTTACCTGCTATTCATAAAGCAGTACTTGTAGCTAATGGAATCTGGTAATGTGTAGACACCTCCTTTCTGAG